TATCTAAATCAGCCTCACACTCAATGACGATTGCGCGTTCGCCCGCTGCCTTACGCACAAACAAGAGACCATTCTCCTGCCAGGCAAACTGGTACTGTTTTTCCTCGGCCAAAGCAACTTCTTATTCTGCGGTGTCAGGTTATCGAGGAAATACACGTTGGATTCGATATTCTTTAGAAGACCCCTTTTTGCCATCCACTGGTCACGTGTAATGCGCGACACGAAGCGAATGAGTACGGCCGGGGTTTTGCCTGGCTTTGAAAACAGCCTGTGAACGCCTTCTAGTTCGTTTTGTGACAGTTCTGGTAGTTGCAGTTCAGTTGCTAGCTCGTTTATCTTATTCAGTAGGTTTTCGTTCTCAGTTTGTGGCAATCCATGTATTTCGAGATTCTGTCGCCTGCTGTACTGCTCCAGGCTGTTGACTTGTATTTTTAGTTTCTGAATTTCCTGGCCAGCATTATCAGCCTCGATCTTCTCCACTTTTTTTTCAGGGTTGCAATCTCAGTGGATTGGCGTTTCATTTCTTTAAGAACTTCGTCGTACTGTTCATACATATGTTGAACGGACTGTTCCAGCTTGTTGACGGTCTCTTTTACCAACATCAATTCATCAACTTTGCACCTGATTACTGGTAATTCCGTTAGTTTCTTATTGATTTCCATGAGAACCTTCTCAAGGGCAGCTTGTTCGGGTTTCTGCTTTACAGCACCCTCGGCCCCGCGAGCTTTCGAAGTTTCGCATGTTTGGCATTTCCATTTACTTTTATTGACATCCCCTTTGGCCTTGTAGGTTGTCTTAGAAACACCAGAACACGAGCCGATGTGGTAACTGTAGTCGCATTCCGAGCATGTTAAAAACACTCCATTTTCAGGGGGTGACTTAAGACATACCAGGCAATCGGAATCAGCCATTGTAAGCTAGACAGAGAACAGCACAACGCTACAATAGCAATAGCAACAGCAACAGCGGCGGCGGCGAGTGGGCGGTAACCATAAACGCAGTATACAGGGAAGTGTACCAAGCTCCATTTCTAAGTCGTATTTTTAACCTGGCCTCTGGTAACTTCTGTACTTCCAAAACGCATGCAAATAGCTAAAGTTTCGGTCTTGTATAAAAAAGGAGATAGAAAAGAAATGGGAAACTACAGACCCATATTGTTAAGTAACGAAGGATTTTGTTAGAAATAAGTAAGATTTGTTTTAGAAAAGTCTATCTTTATACAGTTGCGTCGGCATCGTTTTATTTTTTTTAGCTTTCTTTGTGAGTGTCGGCGTTTTGGAGGGAGCATTTGCGGGGGCAGAGCGGCCGGGAGTGGGGAGCGGCTTCCCCGCGGTCGTTAAGAAACGTCTCGGGTTTCGGTAGTCTGCTCGGACAGATCCCGTCTTGCAGCTGGTTGTGGCTTTTAGCCGAATGTGCCTGTATATAGAGGGTTTCGCCGCTTAGTGTAAAATTGTCGCTTTTTGCCAGATGCAATAACTTAGCGGTTGGCGCCAGTCAGACTGGAAAAATTGCAGAGAGCAACCCTACAAGGAATTTAGGTTTGGCCGTTACAGCGACAGGATGACAGCTCGCCGACCATTGGACGACAGTGTACCATGTGGGAGTGGTGAAATTTGAAGTGATTGGTCCATCTCTGGAGAGAAAGGAGGCATCTACGAGGCTAGAAAAGGGCTGCCGAGAGGGTTCTCGGGGGAATTCGGCTCTTGAGACTGGGGACTAAAGTATGGGGTTTTAATTTTGGAAGTTTTGGTATTACCGTTGACGTGTCGTTTTGTTTTGAAAATAAACGTGGCCACACTGGCCAGTCCACCGTAAACCTACCGACGTCGTAATGTGTCCAGCGGGATCGAACAACTTTTAGTTTTTTTTTTCTTATTCGACTTCCCGGGGGACTACCATCGGGCGAACACCATCATCGGTCGTCACCATCCTGACCGGGCCCCTTCCCCCTCGGAAAGTTGACTCATATCCATACTACCGGTATTTTCAAAAGCACTTGAAAAAGTGCTTCATCTCTGTTTGACAAATTTCACGAATAAATACAGACTGATTACGGACTCGCAGTTCGGTTTTAGGAGAGATCATTCTACAGAGGCTGCATTACTTGTGCAGAAAGAATTTATTCTGCAAAGTTTTGAACAAAGAAAAATAGCTTTGGCAGTGTTTGTAGATTTTAGTAAAGCCTTTAGTTGCCTTGACCACGAAATTTTACTAAAAAAACTTTACGTTTATGGCATTCGGGGACACGCGTTACAGATTTTTTAGGTGTTATTTAGAGCACCGAGCGCAATATGTTTGTCTGAATGGGAATTCTTCCTCTATGAAACTATACTTTGCGGTGTTCCTCAGGGCAATATATTAGGGCCCCTCCTTTTTAACCTCTATGTTAATGACGTCGTCAACATTAACCCAAATGTCAAATTTGTAAATTACAGCGACGACACAACGCTACTTATTTCGGCCGAGGATCGCGACGCGCTAGTGGGCATTGCAAATCTGATGCTGTCGAGATTAAAAATTTGGAGCCGGAAAAATTCATTAAAAATTAACATAAACAAAACTAAAGCTGTACTTTTACGCACGAGAAATAAATCGATTGGAATAATGAGAGATATTACTCTTAACACAACCCCAATTGAGATTGAAGGGCAATTTTAAGGTTTCGGGAGTGATCTTTTCTGAGAATATGTCCTGGGATAATCACATAAATGATATAATTCCTGTCACGAATAACTGGATTGATATATCGCCATCGATCAAATTTGCCAACGAATGTGAAATTACGAATCTACAATTCTCTGTTTTATTCGTATTTAAATTATGGCCATCTTGTTTGGGGCTCAACTACATTATGGAACCTTGAAAAAGTATTCTTATTACAAAAAAAAAAAAAATACTGAGGTCCATCGGCGGCGTCTCGTTGGACTCCCATACAGCTCGTCTGTTTAGGGGTTTCCGCGTTATTAATATATACAATTTATACAATTATAGACTTAGTAAATGTTTAAAACGGAAAACAATAGAAATACACGTTTCCTGACAAATTTGGCTAATCTTTATCTGAAAAAAAAACCGGTTTACCCCACTCGTCATGCACACATTTGGGAGATGGTGGCTTGGAGAACAAATTACGGCTCCAAGATGGTTCGATATAAGTTGCCTAAATTGCTTAACTAGTTAGAAGAGAGTGAACTGGAATTGAATAGAATGTCACCAAAACAACTTAGAGAATATTTTATAAGCTTAGGTAGGTAAATTAGCAATCACTTCATCTTTCATGTAATATTTTTTTAATATATATATTTTTTTTATTCCTCGTTTGCTTAGTACGTATTTTGCGCTCGTATAGTGTCCTCTTGTTTTACCTTGAACCATGTTTTGGTATGGAATATCTTTTTTGTATGTGTTCTTTTCTTTCTCCTGTGCCTCTGCTATTTCGCCTATTAGAAGGTCGAGGACCTTGTCAAGCTGAACTTTACAGCTTTTTTTCTCGACCTCCGCTACCAGTATTGATGGGAAATAAACTTACTTACTTACTTAAAAAAAAAATCCAGGTTTCCGAGTCTGCAGCGTTGTTAGGGGCAAATTTTACCGAAGGCACTAACGTAGTGCAGTTCAGTCAGTTGTAGTGGCATTTCAAGACGCACTATTGAAGAATAACGAGCCAAGTTAATTTTTTCCTGCGGGCGCGTGTCGAGAAATGACACTACCTATTTTGTAGAATGTGCTCGCAGCTAATTCCCAGTTCGTTAGTTTGCTGAATTGAGACTGCTTTGTTACCAATTCATAATTGTCCTGCCGTTAAAACATCTGTGCATTGGGGGACTAGGATATTTTTGTTGATATCCTGTGCACTAAATCAGATTTTGAAGCAGCTTGATTGTGATCACGACCGAGGAAAAACGAAGCAAATCAGACCTCGAATGTTTACAGAGCGATGGGTTGTCAGGAAGTGTCATCATAACTAAAATGTTTGTCACAACGCATTTTGTCTTAAGAAGCTATGAGGCCCAAGAATTGTAGATTTTTGTGTCATGTGCGGAAACTGTGTAGTGCCAATTTACCTCTGTTATTCTCTAGAGGTTTAAACTGGTACTCTACACCGACTAATAGACCGATCTCATCAGCCAGTTTGACTACGCCACCGCTGCCGCGATGCATCGAGGGAACTTTAGTCTTTTTGCACGTGCGATAACCTCGCTGGAGCTCTTCGCGTGTAGAGCACGAGAAGGCCCGAGCCCTCGTGTGCACGGCCGTCTGCCTCCTGTGAATTAAAGTTATGGCGGCTTTACGCATGCGCCCAACGCTTAGTGAGATCGGTCTATTAATTTTGATAGCGAACATGCTCACATGACTCCTGCTGACTTTTGTTCAGTAGTACTAATGGAAACAAGGCACACATTTAACTAAGCTTATAGCACAGCTTCACAGCCTCGAAGAGCTGTGAAACTGCTAACTTTGAGTTTTTAATGGGCGCTGTAGTGATTATATGAATGCATACCGGTATCACTAATAAGGAACCTCATTGAGTTGCTCCAAGCTTATGTATGTGCTGCTCCCAAATGAGATTTTTTTTGTTACAAAGGTGCTCCAGGGTGAAATTTTTTTTCTGCTCCAAAATTTAATACATTCTCAAAACTAGCTGGGCAACCCTTTTTTCATGGAATTGTTTGTAGTCCCCACCGCATAAAGGTTCAACTTTTAAACACATATAGTCCGCAAACTACAGTTCGGGAAATGCAGTACAGTGGACGGACTTCTCTTGCCATAATGAACGACATGAAAAGTACACATCCCTACAAATACACTGCTCGGCACGTGCGTTTGTGGCTTTGGAAGTTGTGCGAGGCAGCGACAAATGTTAAAAATGGCAACCGGCCTACAGCTCTCTTCTGAAACAATCTGTGTACCGCGTAAGATTTCAGCTTTTAAACCTGTGTGGTCCGGGAAATAGGGTAGCGTGGAAGACTCGTTTTTGGATTTCCTGCACTATTGTGCAGGAAATCCAAAAGCAAGCGGGTAGTGGTGTCGAGCGATGACGAACACAAGTACGCCGACTCCAAGAAACCCGAGCTCACCATCAGCAGCAGCCTCGGCTCGAGCAGCTCGAGCGAATCGGATAACTTGGACATCAAGCCGGCTCGCAAGAAAAAAAAGAAGCGGGCGTCCTCTTCGATAGGATCGAGCGGACAGTCCGACGACTCAGACTTCAACTCGTCCAAGAAGGGCAAGCGCGGCCCCAGGGACCGGTCTGCGTCGCCCGGCAAGGCGATCAAGAAGAAGCGCCGTCGCATCAAGATGGCCGCCTCCACGGACGACGACAAGGAGAACAGCGACGACAGCAATTCGGTGAGTTCCCTTTGTTCCTTACGATAGAACGAGAGGTGGCAAGGAGGACCGGACTTACTTGGCCTGTCCAGAGCTATTGTTTGCCTTGTTCGACTTTGATACGCCTCGTGTGCAGGAATTCTGTCAAAGCATGAGATGCCTTTTAACCGAACCCCATAATCCGTGAAATTTGTCCGTCCGTGCGTTTTCCGTTAAACGTTGCAGGTGAATCGACGTCACGTAAGCTGACATCATGTGACCTCTACGCCAGTTTAGTTTTCTTTCTAAATTCAGCGAAGCAACTGACATCGCATGACTTGACTTCACAATACCTAGCATCTCGCGTCACGTGACACTTCTTACACTTCCTCTCCCCATCGCTTTCTCCTCCCTTCCACTCCCTTCTTGTCCTTATACCTCTTTATGTTAAAAGGATTTTTATGTTTTAAATTAGACAACAGTAATAGATTATAATGCGATTAAATGCAAAGGTGCAAGCGAGCTGTGTTTGGAGATTTCTGTTTGTCCTTCGTCCCTCTTGTTCTTCAGGAATCATTTTCGTAGCAGTAATAGAATTTCTCATCAGAGTCACCTCTCACTATGCCCGTGTCTCACCATTCAGCATATAGTCGAGCCCGGTTATATCACACTCGGCTATTTCGAATTATTGTTTATATCAAACAGTGCAAACATCTCCTTGAAAATCACATGTAATACCATAGGAGTTCTTTTTCTATCGCACTCCCATGGCGGGGACACTCGATATCGCGAACAAAGTCCGGCCGCATTCGCTTGCGTTGCGGGGCTGCCAGACCGCCAAGCCAGAATACACTCGGTAAAATACCCAGCAAAAGAGCAGTTGTGTAAAAAGAAAAACAATGAACCGTAAAAAAAAAAGTGAAGGATGGCGAAAACCAGAGCCTTTTTAAAAGGCTTTGGCAAAAACAAGGGGAATGTCACGCGCGCGCGCGCGACGCTGCCGGAATGGTAGCCTGCGCCCTTTCTCCGAACACTGCTGATGCTGCGTGACTCCCAAACCCCAAAATAAAATTAGCAAAAAAAAAAAAAAGTTTTCGGCAAGTCGAGTGTGTTGACTCGACAACAACGGTTGTGCAATTGCACTTCGACCACCTTATCTTTGGTTACATTTTCATTTTTCTATTGCCCCTATTGCTTTTGTCCATTTTCTTTTGTTTTTTGCCTATTTTTTGTTGCTTGAATTTAGTGAACTTCCTTGTTGCTTGCTTCACTTTGACTTTTTTATGTGTCTTGCTTTTCTTTCATTTTTTTATTATTTTCGTGTTTTGTCGCTCATGCTGGCGGTGTTTGCGGTCTCCACCAACCAGCCAACTACGCTCTACCATATTTAGCGGCTCTCGGATGTTCTAGTTTGTAAGCACTCGTTTGTCGGGACCTTCGGCATTAGCAGAGACGGCAGGAAATTACAACTCGAGCTTAATTTAACATATTTTTGCATATATAATTATCGATATATCGAACTGTTTTATGATCCCCTTCGAATTCGATATGTCCGGGTTCGACTTGATACCATCTATAGACCGTTCCAAGTTGGGCTTCCTGGGTGCCGCCATTTGAACGAGTGTAGCGCCGTCTACCCTCATCCGGGCATTTGGGAGAATCTGAACCCGTCCGAATGACCGACCGCCATTACTGAACTGTTACCCTGCTCACCGAGTCACACCGATCGCAGCTGCTTCTGCCGGCACGGCTGCCGTATACGGCGCCCTCGGCTCATCGTCTTCGTCCATGGAGGAAAGCACTATCCTAATCGGTATGTCGGGCATGGGAAAAAGTGCGTCCTGCTTTCCTGGCATCTTTTTGTGGGTAATTTTTAGCGCGGTTCTGGGGCAGTCGTCGTTCCCAAACCGAACTCGGCGTTTCGATCGCTAGCGAAATTGGGGATCGCTAGGGAAACTGAGGATTGAACAAAGCAAGGATGGCACGAATTACGGCATGCGAATTTGTGCTTCACTCGAGGTGTCGCAGCTTGGGGGCGCCGGGAACATTTGAACTAACTGCGCGGTTAGCGGCTCAGACCTGCACTGCCACATCTTCTTTAATTGAAGTAGTAGAAGCCTCAAATTTAAATATGAATCGATATACAAATACCGCCTACAGGTAGCAAGTGCGACGGATCCCTGCAAGTAATTGAAGCGTTCGGCCATTCGCACTGACGTATTCGTGATAAATTGACAATTTCAGAAACCCCTAAAAACGATCGAGTTACGCATACCCGACGCTTCGGCGGCACATTTTCGTTCCGCCCCAGGCGTCGCCTGCCCATTACCACCTGAAGAAAAATAGAGTGATTGAATCAGTGGACCAGGAGTCACGCAACTGTTTTCTTTTTTCAATGTCTAAGCCGCCCTCCGCTTACCTTTCGGTTGTAGCCCAGGCGAAGGAACGGCACGGGGTTCTCCGCAGTTCGCCGGCCGTCCAAGAAATGGTCGGAGCACACACGACTGCTCTTCGATGGCGAGAAGTCTTTCTTGTTTAAATTCGCCAGCCACCGGCGTTGTAGGTCCGGAGCAGCGGGGAACCGGTGCAGCATAAACATGCCGCACCCACATTCATCCTGTTTGACAGCGTGGGTCTCGCACATTGAATCGCCGTTTATTTTTATTTTTTTTTTGTTATTTGTACAGCCAATTACAGCACAGTGCTGCTCGGTCGATTCGTTTCTTGTATAGGCCATGTCACGCGCGAAAACACGCTATAATATCAAAGCGGTACCTAACATTGTCGAAATAACTTGCCTCCGTACATTACGCACGTGCTTTCTCCACCTTCTGGTAACAGTGCACTCCGTGAAGCAGACGAGCTTTCGAGGGAAAGGGTAGGCGGAGCGTTGGCGCAGCGCTCTGGTTCGAGAGTGTTTTTTCCTTTCTGCATCGACCTACTTAAAACGATATATACTGTTTAAAACAAAAAGCAGCGTTCTGCGAATAGTGGATTTTGAGTTCGAATCGAATTCGAAGCGAATATTGATTTTGTCAGAATATTTTCGAATCAAATATCAAATACTTGCCGTTCAATAATCTTGGCCGCAAAATGACATGCGAGATAATGTTTTCACGTGCAGCGCGTTCTTCTTCGTAGGCCGCATACAAGCTCCATCTTCAGGTAGTTTGAAAGGGTTGTTGTTCCTGTTGGCGTCGTCAGTGACTTTTTGCATTGTTCACACCGGGCTTCGTTTTTGGAGGGAAGTTTAGAGAAATACTTCAAAACTGGAATTTTTGTGCTGTCGTTTGAGTCCACTCCGCCATTTTGACAATGTCGATGTCATTCACTCATCTTGTCGCTGTAATAATATATATTCTTTCGGAATATTACAGTTTCAATGTTTTGAAACGGTGTTTATGAGTTTTCACGCAGATAAAAGTTTCTGAGCAATTATGCAGGTTATGAGATTAGCAAAGATGGCGCCGGCGTCTCTGGAGCTCGGTGCTCGGTTTTTTTTGCCAGTTAATAAACAAAGTTCCCACCATAATAGTTATACTTTTTAGCCGAACGTGGCAGTATGTTTCGATTTTAGAAATTGTTCCTTAGCGATTTTTAGAAAGTAAACAAGCTCGCGACTGCGAGTTGGTCAACACTTCGAAAAGCACGAATATTACAACTGCTCTCGAAGCGAATATCGAATAGAGTAATATTCGAAACTACTATTCTAAAATTCGAATATTCGCGCAGGACTAAAAAAAAGGTCCCATTAAAACACGACGCGGTCACTAGCGGTGCCGCCGCATGTTTAGAGGCACAGCAGTTCTTCCCTGTCAGAGCGACGATGGAATTAACAAAGACAGCTGGTAGAGTCGCTGCAATTTTTCGACGGTCGGTTTGTGCGACCAGTGTCGAGCCTCTCCGTACGCCAATGTTTGCAATCCAGAGCCAGGAGACGGGCAGCAAGAGCCGCAAGAACCTCCGAAAGCTCCGGCCAGTCGGCGACGAGACGAGGGCGGCAGCCAAGGCGGAGGAGGAACGCAAGAAAAGGGTCCAAGAGCGCCAGAAGCTGCAGGTAACTTGCCTTGTTCGGGGATTCTGGCATGCAGTCACGTTATAGTCGAATGAGAACGGCACGACGTGTCTTTTGAACACCCGGCCTGCAGCACACGCTCCGTGCCTTCCACCATGCTCAATACCTTCCACCTTGCTTTGGTGCACGAGACGTAGGAGCATTCTGAAAGGTAGGAAGGCTGGCCTACCGAAGCTTATCCCTGCCATTCTCACCGCGTCAGTGACTACAGCGAGCTTGATGGTTTTCTCGCTCATTTTGACGTTAAAATATTTCGGGCCGCGACGTGCTAGTAAATTCGAGGGATCGACGTGACGAAAACGCTAAACGGAGCTGCGGCGTTGTCGCCTGCGAGCGTAAGTAGCGGTATCGCGAATTACGCACACCGGTGTAATCTGGTCTAATGAAGGGACATTAGTCTGAACGAAGCAGTTTTGGCCTGCAGTGCGCGCCGTTAATTAAGAACGTAAGGTAACTCGTACGATTTAAAGAGGCACCTTAAGAGTTGAAGTAGGTCCAACCTAAACTTTGCAGATAGATACGCAGGAATTATTTTGATAGTTTGTTTTCAGCCCTAGCGTGATTCCTGAAGATGGATTTCTGAATTGTGCTTGCTTTTTCATTTTAAAATGACCCCTTTTGTAAGACTGGCCCCTTGTTTTACTAGCAAGAAAAAGATGCGATTGCTGGGAATCTCCCGCGAGCGCTGAACATTAAGGGAGTCGTCCAGTTTAGTAAGGAACTTTTTATATCTCAAACAAGCTGGACGCGAGAGGTATAGGAGGCGTTTCAATGATTCAGTCTCGTACGTAGAATGCCTGTTCAGTTTTCTTGAAGAAGAATCCGACAACGGAGTGGTTCGTCGCAGTACAACAAGATCCGAGGGGGCGCTTCAGAGTGTGGCAACACGACCCTGGAGGAACTGGTGCTAGAGATGGACCTCAAGGCCAACAAGCCGCTGGTGACGGTGAATCGGAAGTTGGTCAAATGCATGAAGCCGCACCAGGTCGACGGTAAGCGTTGTGATGACTGGAGCAGGGGGGGGGGGGGGGGGGGGGTGCCGGCAATTTACTTTGGAGCTACAGTCACATTACACATACATGGCACAAGAGATGGTGTCCAGCCATTGTTTGAGGTGTTCCTTGTGCGCCGGTCTGTCAGATCGGTCATACAAAAGCATCGTGCTAACGTGTTAGGAACCTACATATGTTTTAGTGACGGGCCAAACTTTTGCGGAATCGAAAATTCCGTCCCGTATCTTGGGATTCGGCGAAGCGGAAGTTTTGCTGAACTTTTTGAAAGATTCGGCAAAAATACATTGTTGCCAGGCTTAAAAGTTGATATTTCGTTTTTTCGGGAAACAAAAGTGTTTTTTTTTTTTTTTTTTTTTAATGCAGATTGACACAGTTGTTACTAAATAATGTGATATTCTACAAAATTATTGGATCGATGTCATTTTTGTGTGTTTACTGGCAATTTTACAGTGACTCTTTGCAGAAGTAATGTGACAGCGAGGTTGGGTAGTAGTTTCTGTTTTGAGGCCTCTTCAGCGCAAGCCTGCAAGTGTGTTCATTGTTGAGGCGGTAACACTGTGTTCCTACTTTCTCTGCGAGTCACCGGTTCGTGCGCGAAAGCGAATGCAACGGCTGCTGAGCCTTCACCGGAAGTGATAACAATATTATCGCAAATATGCATGTTGTTCGATTTCAGTCACTTCACGCCAGCTTTGCATGAAAATGTGCGTCCCATATTCGCAATGGCTCATTTATAACTTTTAAAATGCTGGTTTCCGATGCTAGAACACGCGCGGACGTTTAGGAAGATGGGAAGAGTTAGGAATGTTGGATGTGCAACGTCGATCAAGATAGTTCTTGGTTTAGTTTTACGCGAATAGGTGAAAACCACTAAATAAAGCTAATTAAAAAGCAATATTATTTTGTTTTGGCACGAACTACTTGTGGGCTGAAAACAATATTTCAATAATTGCGAGGAGTGCTTCAAAGTACTTGTCAGTCAATGGTGCAACTACCTCGTGGCATCATTGGAAAGATCAAAAGAAAATCCTGTTATCCAGAATGTACCGCAGCATTTGTCACCTGCGCAGTTGACTGCTTAATTTTCTAGTCGATCTTCTGCCGTTGAGGCAGAAAATGTTGAAGAGAACCACACTCACAATGTTGAAGGAAAGTTCGGCAAAGATTCGCCGAACTCGAATCTTCGCTGAACTTCAAAGTTTGGATTGTGCCACTTGCCGAATCCGAAGTTCGGCAGATTCAATCCATCATTAATATGTACGAAGGGAACATGCTTGAGGCGTTCAGCACCATGTTTTAGACATGCGGCACCGTCTAAGAGGTTTCAGAGGAACACCACTTTGAGGTTCCTGTTTTACTTTACAGCAAACCTGTATACTTCTACCAGCCAAGGAAATTTTCGTGTCGTTTGCATTGTAAGCAAAATACTCGCGGCGAACAATTGAAGGCAAAACAGCGTATCTCCTTTAAAATCGGGCATACAGCATACAGCTCAGTATCCGTTTCAATAAAGAAAACCACAAAACAAGCATCAACAAAACAAACCATCGAAACCATATGATGGATGATAAGGCACGTGTAAACAATGGGAAGATTAGGTTTGCAGCTGCTTCGAAAGGGGTTGACGTCATTCGAAGCCCTCGCGTGAGGTGAGGTCACGTGGCACTCACACAGCCTCCGAGATGAAACGGAGCATAGCAACTGAATTCATTGTGGCTACAGCAGCGCGATGAATAGGCCACACATAGTTAGGACTCACAAAGAGCAGTGCGAATACTAGGAGAGGGAAAAGAAACGGCAATACAACCATCGGTGGCATGATGCGACCGGCGACGGCATTTCGTACAGTGCAGTAGGCAATCGTTGCAGGGGATACCACAGCTTCGCTGACCAGCCACCTTCACAGCGTGGATTGGAGCCTCAACGTTTTTTGCTTTTCTGTGCGGGCACCAGTTTTCACGCAACTTTAAAGCTTTCATTAGGGGGTACGCTACCCAGAAAACAAATTATTGCAAAAAAGGTAGCTTTTGTAAAATGCCATATTTACATCCACCAACATGTAGAGAGTATTCCCAGAAAGTTTCATTGGTTTACACCGCATATTTATTTTTTATGAATGATTTTTGGTCCACCGATGCTAAAGAAAAGGTAGAGGTTGAAGCACTTTGAACGCGTTTTTCTCCGTTCCAATTTTCGGCATAAATTTCACTTAAGGAAAACTATCGTTTGGTAGAAGGACGAAAGGAAACACTCACATTTTTTTTTTAACTGGAATTTCATGGGAAATGCAACTGTGGCATTGTTTTTTTTTTACTTTGTGGATGTCTTTTATGAAATACGTTAAAATGTTGTCGACAACATGGAAGTAAAAAAAATTTGATTTTTCACTGCGATGTTAGCACAAAATAAGTTACTTTTTGGAGCTTTTGTTTGCACAGTTGCACTTTCCAGACATTTTGCTGCGTATCTAGTGTACAAAAACGTTGGGCATTACTTTAGTTTTATAACTATAGTTTTCTTAAACAAAGTTAAGTGTGTTTCTGATAAAAACGACTATACATATTTTTTTTTTTTACAATTCATGTAAGCAGATGAAACTTTGCACGGCATTCTGTCTTGCAACTGCCAGTATATACTGTAAATTTCATTCGTATTAATCTAAATCTTAATACGATGACCCTTTTGGGTAGTGCCCCCGTTAAGTGAAAGTTCACTTGACTGAATGCACTGGACACTGGGGGGATTTTTTCAAAAGTTTGTTTATCTGAATAGTTTGTTCAGTTGGAGTTCGTTCAAGTGGTGCTTCACGTATAAGCATGTATCGAGAAGCGGCACCAGCATTTCATGTTGAGACACCTTAAGGAGACCTCGAATAAGGGGTCGATTATCGTGCTGTTTTGATTCTTGCCTCCCTTGCTGTTTACGATCAGCATATCATAGAGTCTCTTAAAGTGTCTGCTCTCGTCCAACAGGTCGAGCAGTGTTTTTTCTTCATTGCATGGCGCGCAGTGAAGAAAAAGGGCAGTGTGCAAAGGGGGAGTAGAGGGAGTTTTGAAATAAAGTGTGCTAGGAGAGCTTCCAGCAATGAAAGAATGCAAGACACCATCATCAATAAAAGTAAGTAGGACACAAACACGGCAGATCCGGACCGCATCGCAGTAACAGCCGACTGACTGGATGCTCTGTCCTGATTGTTTGCTTGTTTTCAATGTTGAAGTCGTAACTAACCCTGGTGCACTGAGGCTGGTATTATTGTTTCGCATTGTGGCCGTCTGTGGCAGGTGTCAAGTTCCTGTACGAGTGCACCATCGAATCCCTCGAGATGCTGAAGAAGGACCCCAACAATGGTTCTGGCTGCATCCTTGCCCACTGCATGGGGCTGGGAAAGACCTTCCAGGTACGTCCGCGCGTGCAGGCTGCCATCTGAACGAGAACAGTAAATTCCTAGTTGTATTCGGCTTCGATCCTTAAACTACATCTGTAGCGTCTGCTATCCTTCGATAGCAAATGTTTCTTTTCAGACAGTCTTGACCTAGGTATGTTACCATGCTGCACCTCTGACTGCTACAAAGTTATTTACTTGTTCTGACTCGGTGTAGTATTAAAAAAAATATTTAAAGATTGCAAGATTTCTTTAAGAAAAATTTACAGGTCTTTGCCACAGCATGCGAAGAAGTGACAGCGATAGCTGTTATTGTGCATGGTTACATACACTTTTATGCATATCCACTCTTTATATGCTCGATCACTGTCAACGGAGCCTCATGGTCGCTCGCGTATGTAGGAAGGGAACACTGTGCGCATACGAGTCAACGTCCTTTTCCGAGATTTAATCGAGACGAGTACCGTTAAGAATGGCGGGTTGTTTTGCATCTGATAGTACAGAGCAATCCATTTATAACAGTAATGAGAAAACCAGAAAATTCAATCGTTCTAACCTATTATCATTGTATCTGGATTAGAAATTGAGTGTTTCTAGCCTAAAAACTCTAGAAACTGATTGTTATAAGCGGAACATTGTCACGTCTGGGATCGTTACGAGTGGGTTGCACCGTACATACAAACCAAATTCTACGGTGAGGAATGTGCAGGAGCGTCCGCTGCCTACCTCGGAAGACAAGGCCACCCGGCAAGAGCCAAGTGGACTCACTTGGCTCTTGTCGCCAACACAGCTGTTGTTGGCGACCTTATTTATTATTTCTCGCGGGGCATTCTTTTCATAATGCGTGGTCGTGCGCAGTAGGCTAGATTAGTTCTTGAAAGCCTGCTGCCATTGTGAAACTCATGTTTATGTGGAGCTTGGGTGCCGGCGTTGCCGCAGGTGATCTCGTTCCTGCACACGGTATTGAACCACAAGGATTGCGGCAAGATCCTACGGACTGCCCTCGTCGTGTGCCCATACAACACTGTCCTCAACTGGTCGCAGGAGTTTGAACGCTGGCTCAAAGACAAGAGACTCGACCTCACCGTAAGCTGCGTTTAATTTTCGGTGGTGGCTAGGGTCGATAGAGGCTCGGAGACACGAGTGGCGAATCAAAAGATTTTACGCATGCTCCCTTTGCTCTTGTTAAGTAACGAAGGATTTTGCTAGAAATAAGTAAGATTTGTTTTAAAGAGTCTATCTTTCTATAGTTGCGTCGGCATTTTTTTTTTTTTTATCTGCCTATGTTTGTCTCTGCATTTTTGGGCGTCTTCCGCCCCCACGCGCGGGGGACTTCGAGCAGCCGCGGGGCTCGGTGGAGAAGAGTCGGACCCCGGTCGTTAACGAACGGATTGGGTTTCAGTTTGGGGGCGCCGGAATAGCCCTGTCTTGGGCTTCTGTCCGCACTTGTGGCTTTTAAACGGGTGTGCTTTTGTCCGGCGCATTTCGCCCCTTAGTGTAGGAACTTCGCTTTTAATCGGCGCAATAACTTTGTGGCGCCAGCCACACGGCAAAGAAAGCATGTAGTGACTATACAAAGAATTTGGGTTTGACCGTTGAGGTGTCGGAGGGGGGTCACGTTGACAGCTCGCTGATCATTGGGTAAGAGTGTACCACGTGACAATGGGCAAATTTGAAGTGATTGGTCCGTCTCCGGAAGGAAAGGACGCCCCGACGAGTCTACAAAGGGGCTACCGAGAGGATTCTCGGGGATTCGGCTTTTGAGATCAGGCAGATTCGGCTCTTGAGACTGGGGTACTCAAGGATGGGTTTTAATTTTGGGAGTTTTGTAATGTAAATTACTGTTGACTTGTTGTCGTTTTGTTTTGAAATAAACGTGGCCACATTGGCCATCGTAAACCAACCAACTTCGTAATGTGTCCAGCGGGATCGAACAACTTTTAGTTTTTTTTCTTATTCGACTTCCCGGGGGGCTTGCATCGGGCGAACATCATCAATTGTCACCATCCTGACCGGCCCCCTCTCTCCACGGAAAGTTGACTGACGCAGTCGACAGGATCCTGCTGACTTCCTGCAACGGGCGGTGAGCGAATACGACGGCATCAACAGAGGCAGGCGGAGCGTACCTGGGCTCTATGCGACAAGTGTTTCGTCTGCTGGATTGCGGACAAGGGTCCCGTCTGCTGGACTGCGGACAAGGGTCGCTCCGGCCGAAGCGCGAACCGTGGCAATATCTACGTGAGAAGCCCAGGGGGTACAGTTATCCAAAGGAGTCGTTGCGTCTGCGGGACTGCGGACAAGGCTCGCTCCTTCCGGAGTGAAGACCGTGGCAATATCGATGTGAGAAGCACGGCGGGTACAGTTATAAGCACGGGGGGGGGGGGGGGGGGGGGGGGGGGCGTTGTTACCCAAAAGGAGCGGTGGCAGCTGACAGGTGGTCCTGGGCGTCATCTACGTCAGAGAACAGGACGGCCTGTGGCTTTACCTGCGGACCGGCGAAGCATCCCCAGCGAGTGGCGACAGAATATTTTGGGCAGGCCTCAAGAGGAGAGATGAGATCGTCGCTGCAGTGCTGACCTTCGTTGTGGTGCCAAAAATCATGCGTTCTTTTTTTTTTTTTTTGTGTGTGTGTGTGTGTGTTTTTTTTTTTTTTTTCGGTGAACGGAGAAGGAACCGAGGCTTCCGGACGACAGGCACGATCGCCGGGCCGAGTGGGGACACTGCGGCAATTGAGGAGCAGCTAATTGGATGTCGCCAGACAACAGTGGATGAGTCCCTTTCCCGTTTTCTTCGAGGTTCACCATGACCAGAGAGAGCGTTGGCTCGCGGACCTGCGGCAGGATTATTACTTATAAAGGATAGTTCTTCCTTCTGCCGTAGTAACAAAAATTGCCATGTTAGTTAAGTTAAGATCCACTTGTACCGCTCATTCACACTGGAAGCGGATCCGCGTTTGCAAAGCGATTGCGAACGGGGTTGTATAAAGATCCAGTACAATTGCACGCGCACTTGATGTCATGAAGTGCACATGCAATTGTACTAGATCTTTATACAACCGCGTTTGCAACCGCTTTGCGAACGCGGATCCGCTTCCAGTGTGAAGGAGCGGGTAGAGTCGCCCTTTTATGTCCAGTTCTTCTAGTGGGTCAAGTATAGCATCATTCGTTAGAGAATCACATGCACTCTTGATGTCCAAGAATACGGCTGTGATCATTCGTCGTTGAGATAATTCGTATTCAACCGATGTAATTAAATCAATCACCCCGTCTCCCGAGGACCGGCCGCGGCGAAAGCCTGATGACTCACTTGAATATAAACCATGATGTTCAAAATACCATTCCATTCGCGCCAAGATCATACGTTCCATGAGTTGGCCTATGCAACTTGAAAGCGCAATGGGTCGATAGGAAGTGATGGTAAGGGGTAATTTACATGGCTTTAGTAGCGGTGTAACTTCAGAGACTTTCCATGGTACCTCGCCTTGGTTCCAGGATTGGTTGAAGGGACGAAGAAAGCATTTGATTGTACTTGGTCCGAGTCGTGCACTTGCCGAGTAGTTAACACCATCTGGTCCAGGTGAGCTTGATTGTCTACATGATGCAAGAGCAGATTCGAGTTCGTTCAGAGAGAAATCAACGTCCATGCATGACAGAGTTGACGGTGGTGTTGGCCGTGGCGCTTTTAGTGTGCTCGTGTGTGTAGACTGCTTCTGCGTAATTCGTATGCAGAACGGGCTCGCGGCCTCTATATCTGAACACTGCATCAATAGAGCTAGTGCCCGAAACAAATAGCGTTGTTGCAGTGTTGCTCGGAGACCTTTTGATATTTGCCATATTCTTGTAGTACGCTTCCTTTGATCAAGTTCTGAGCACATTTTCCGCCAACGACGTTTTGCAAGCTTGTTCAAATGACGTTTGATTTTTTTAGTTACTCGTCGGAACTCACGTAAATCCTCAGGCCTTTTATGCTTTCTAACACGCCTCTCAGCACGCCGGCGAATAGCCCGAAGTCACTCATATTCGGTATCGAATGTAGTCCGGTTAATCGGTAGGGTTGTTGGCTCTCTTGATTGGTTCAACGAACGAGTGATGGCTTCTGTAAATGATGGTAAGTCCATTTCTTGGTTGCATTCCTCGGTAATTTGTTTTTAAAGTTTGCCCAAATTATATACCTAGCCTCATGATGAGTTTTAATATTTTTAAAATTCCGAAGCTCCGTATAGGTGGGAACGTGATCACTACCTCTATAGATGCGATGTCTGCAAACCATGTTGCTTGAGATGCTAGCGATGTCTAAACGAATGTGAGATCTGCAGCTGCTACGCTTAAGGTTCTGTATGTACGTAGGGCTACCGTCATTCACTAGGCAAAGATGGTGACATGCAGCCATATCGGCCAACTTCCTACCTTGAGGGTCGGGGTGTATACTGCCCCATATAGAATTATGGGCATTAAAATCATCTGTTAAGACAAATGGCCACGGGTAGTTGCTGAGAATGTCAGTGAGGTAATCTTCGTCAAATTTAGCTTTCGGTGGGATGTATCCAGAAATGACGGTGAAGTTGCACTTGCCATCAGTGATTGTAGCCACAATGTACCCATTATCTTGATGTGGTGGAATAGCGTGATGCACGTAACTTAGGTCTGTGCGCAGGAGAAGGAGGACTCAACTTGGTCCTGAAGTTCGGGTTGAACAAATATATTCATACCAAGAAAAACGAAAATTGTTTAGAAGCCTTGACTCACATATGGCCATTACAAGAAATTCAACAAGCTGCACAAAAACAAAACAAAACAAAACAAACACCAGACCAGTTTTGTTCCGTGCACAGAAAGGGTTGTATATTCCTTTACCCTCTCCTGCGGGAAACGATATATCGGCCAGACTGGGAGATGTTTAAACGATCGATTCCGTGAACACAACATAACTAGAACCAACTCAGGACATTTAGGTCTATATTGCCGTGATTGCGGATGTGCGGCACATCTAGATAGGAGTACAATGCTGGGCAAACGCGGTAGCCAACTGGCTAGAGAGATAGTGGAAGCAAAACATATTTCCAGCTATGACGATAAATGTGTTAGCACTCCATCGCTCACTTTAACAGGAAAATAATTAGCTTATCTTATCTTATTAGCTTATCTTATTAGCTCATATCATTGTCATTTAATGGGACGTGGAAGACAAAGAAGCCAATATTCGCGAATGTATCGAAAAGGCGTAGAAGAAAAAGAAGTGTAAATATAGATTGAGTTGTGAGTCAGCGATGTGTGAGTGTTTTACCTGCTGTGATTGTGTCACAAAGTGTGATTGTTTTTGTGGCCTATGGTGGCGTGTCCTTCTGTGTAACCCCTACTTGCGCTGTTATTTTGAGACATGAGGAAATTGATGTTTGTGTGAAAATTGCCTGAGAACGGATGAACGGAGAACGGAGAAAGGCCACTCGCGTTCCACTGGAATATAATCGAAGTGTTGTATCTGTCATCTATTGTGAGTGCTGTCATAATTATAATAAATGGTATTTAAATAGTAACAGTTGAGTTCACTCAACCATTGTTGCAGGAGCGGAATAAATGTGTCAATGAGTTGTACAATGTAGATGGCAATGGGTGAAGGTAGGGTGCCTTCATGTCCCGCTTCGCGAACATGAAGGCACTCTAGGTGAAGACACGAGTTGAAGCAGTCCGCGTAAGGCCTTGATCGCAGCGCAAAAGGTATCTCCGATGCCCAGCGCAGGTGGCGGTGGTTCAGCTGCAGCATTTTTCAGTGGAGTTCAGGCACTCTTGACAAAATTGGTGGCAATGTTACTTATAACCTTACATGTAGAAGGTTGGTAGTGAGCGAGGTCTTCTTGTGTCATAGGTACTGTGTTTGGGAGATACGGAAAGGACTCGAGGTCTTCTGTATTAAGTTCTGTGCTTCTTCGTGGTTTATCGTGTGGCTTTTTGTTCTCCTTTCTTTCGGAAGGCTGTGATGCTGGGTGGGGCTCTTGAATTTGTTGTTTATGTGGCTTGTTAGTCACTGGCATGCGCGCTGTTGGCTTTTGACTGTGTCCGGGACCAGATGTGTTATCGGTATTGTGTTCAGAGGCATCTGCTTTCATTGCCGCTTTCGCTGTTGCATAGTCGCTTCCGTGAAGAACGCGGTAACGAGCTACTTCCCTTTCTTCTTGCCATCTGGGCAGCTTCTAGAAGTAGAGGGATGGTCTCGTCCGCAATTGACGCATTTGGGTGGTCCATCTGAACAGGATGTCGAGTCGTGTGTTTTTCCGAATTTTGTACAAATAGACGAAGATGCACATGATGCAGCTACATGTCCGAGGCGACCACAAGTACGGCATTGGGTTGGTTTCCGCACGTAGAGATATACTTTGTGGCGCACATAGCCTACACGTACCGTATCGGGTAGAGTTGGGCATACAAATGTTAATGCAACAGATTGTGATTTTCCCAGTCTTCGGATGCGGATGATTGATGTCTTTGCGAGTAGTGCCTGAGTAAGTTGGCTATCGGTGATATCCACTGGTACTCCATGGATGACACCCATAGCCATGTTCTTAGAGCGGGGCTCGTATGCACTTATCGGAACGCCCCAAAGAGACTTGATAGGCAGTAAAGTGCTCGTTGTATCTAAATTGCGAGCGTCTACAGCAATCACATTCAGCCTTGAGTTAGGTCGAATGCTGTAGATTCCATCACGACAGTTTGCTTTCAATCTGACCGAAAGCTTGAAGGCTTGAAGCTTTTGATGTTGGTATTTTGGTCGTCTGGTGTGAATATGACGGTGAGCCCAAGAGCCTGGCAGTTGACTGCTGGTTTGTGAGAGCTTGACTCTGAGTCCTTACTCTCCCTGCGTCGTTTGCGTGATTCAGCTGTCTTGTATTGGTTGTCGTGATCGTGTGGCTTTTCACTGGTAAGAGCATACTGTTCTCCCATATCCTCGACATCGTTTTAGTCGTCGTTTTTTTGTTTTTTTTTTTTCATTTTCAGAAAATGTTTTTATTCATGTGTCAGTGTCGTATTCCTCAGGTGGTAAGAAATTTATATAGTAGTCGTCAACAGGTTTGGCTGCGAGTTTTGCACGGTGTGCATTACAGAAGTCATGTCTAATCGAATTGGTTCCGAGGTGGCATCATGGGATTATATCAGGCCTACCGGAGCGGTGTCGTCCAGAGGATCATCAGGAGGAAACGGTTTGTCGTGGTTACTTCCTGCAGTAGAGGTGTCGGCGATATTGCAGGAGGCAGTGAGAGTATTCCTCTTCCGCGGAGTAAGGTGCAAAACAGCAAATATTGCCAGAAATATGAACACCATGTCCAGGCGCCGACTTAGAGCAAGCGTCGTCGTCTTCTTCTCCGGGCACATTGCGAGGTGAATACTAAAACCATCGGTGTCGCGTGACATGACGTCGGGTATCACCTGATGTCGGTGTCGTGTGTTGTCACGAGGAACGTATATGTGCGACGCTTTTAGAGCAGCTTTGGAACGACGTCACTGTGTCGCTGACATCTAGGCTACATCCGAGTGCGGTCTTATGGTTATGTAAGTAAGGCATTATTTAGACACCAAAACTTTTCTTTTTCGTGGCAGGTGCACGAGGTGTCGTCTATCAAGGACAACCACTCGCGGGTGAAGACCCTGGAGTACTGGCAGAAGAAGGGCGGAGTCATGATCATTGGCTACGACATGTTCCGTCGACTGACCAACGAAAAGGCCATGGGGGTCAGCAAGAAGATGAAGGAGCGACTGAGGAAGGCGCTGCTCGATCCAGGTAGGCCAACACCGTCGAGAACGATCGAATCCTGCGAACGGCCTTGTCTACCTTAACGCAACGTCCAGGATGCATGCCAACCCAAAAAAACCTGGAATTGTCGTGGAATGCGTGTGAAAAAGTGGAAGAAATTGTCGTAAAATAGGTCTGGGAGTGTGGGCGGAGCAGTGACACGCAACGAAGCGGAAGGGTGCGACGTGCAGTGGCAAGGATGGCCTTCGTGCGACACTTGTCCGACGCGTCGGTGGATAACGTAAGCCACCATCGGATTCACAAGATTCAACAGAAAGAGCTCGAGAAACGGCTGCCTCTACATTTTCTTTTTATTTCTAATGGTCAGCAAATTTAAGCAAAATATTCATAGAAAACCTGAAAAAGTCGGGGAATTCGTTGCATTTAATAGTCTCCGGCTTTTTTTTTTTTTTTTTTTTTTTTTTTTTTTAACGCAACCTTTTTGGCAGTTTTTCTTTAGCATGAGCTTGAAAACAAGCGCAGGGTCTATTCGAAGCGACGAAAAGTCTGGGCTGGCATTCCAGCCGACCGAGTTTATCGACACGATGTTCCAGGGTTTCCAGTCACGTATAGTTTCCGTTTTTTAGGGGCGAAGCTCCTTAGGGTCTAGCCTTGTCTGTACGTCCGTCCCATCTGCCTTAAAAAAAAAAAAATATTTGCGCAGTCGACAGGATTCGAACCTGTGCGGGGAGACCCCAATGGATTTCTAGTCCATCGCCTTAACCACTCGGCCACGACTGCGGGACGAGTAGGGGCCTCTGAGATGGGGTAGTAACTCAAGAGCTGGGGTTTCTGTCATGGATGAAACGTTGCATGTAGCCGCTCAACGTCTATACAGGAGAGGGAGCTGCGGTCAAATGCGTATATAATCGCGCTAAACTTTGCATGCATTGGCTCAACGTCTATAGACGAGACGGCGCTGCGGTCAAATAAATGGATCCGCTAGAAGAACCACTGGCTCTGGATTTCACCGACCATAAAGCTGTAATAATGAAGTCGAAACACAACCCAGAACTCAGCACTACCTATGAGCAATAAAAAAAATCGGCACCATCAGCACTACCTGTGAACAATAAAATCAGTATCATCAGCACCACCAGAGCTTCGCCCCAATCAACATCATTCACCACGTGAAGATGCGGTCATTTTTTTGTTCTTTAATCTCGTCGCCACAAATGTCGGCGACGTTCTTGCGTCCCAGGGCCGGACATCGTGGTGTGCGACGAAGGGCACATTCTGAAGAGCGACAAGACGAGCCTGTCGATCGCCATGAACTCGCTCAGGACATGCCGGCGGATAGTCCTCAGCGGAACTCCCCTCCAGAACAACCTGCAAGAGTGTGAGTTTTCAGTAAAATTTGAGAGGGAGGGTTCAGTCTGTGCCACCTAGAAGACGTTCCCCAAATGTCAGCAGCATCCACGCAGCGCCGCCTAGCTCGCGTTCGGGTCTTGCAGCGTCCCGCAACAAGCGCGACGCTAGCACGCGAAACGTCAAGTTGACTGCGTCTGCCACTTTACAGCGACTTCCGCTTGGGCGGGTATTGCCGAGGCCTTGCCTTCTAGCTGGTGCAGCCTGCTGCTACATACCATTGGCTACAGTCGGCGTTACTGAATCATGATTTCCATTTTCCTTCGGTGTCGTCTCGTGCTTCTCGGTTAACTCAAAACGGCAGGGCACTGCGGTTCGCCATCGTGGGTCCCGGCGGGGCCAGATTGCTAACACGACTTTGATGAACGCTAAGAAGCAGAAAAATACCGCTTCCAAAGTCGTTAGCTGCTCTTCTTTGAAGCTTCATCTAGCGAAGAAATGCCGGCGTTGTGCTTTGTATAAAGCAAAGCTAAACGATCTAACTACTTTGACGCGTTATGGCAATACAAGCACGCCTAACCTATCTATGAATTGGACCAGCTTAATATATATATACCGTAAAATACCGGGGAAGCGCCCCCCCCCCCTTACACACATACACACAGACCCACACACTCACTGAAAACGGGGTTAATCTAGACATGTGCGCCTGTCCGGTTAAATCGGGCGCTTAATGTATAATTTGCAGAATTCCCCAGTTTGGCAAATGTAAATAGTGGGCACTTTAACGAAGTGGGCGCTTCCGCGCTATTTTACGGTAGATATCTAAGTATGGTCAGCTAGTTAAAATCATAAGCATGGCCCAACTAGTTCAGCTCCAACCCGGCCTAATCTGCCGTCTGCTTTGCTTAAAACTTCCTTGTTATTCTATTTATTTATACATTTAAATGCCTCTAAAGGCCCCAGTGGGGCATTACAAAGGGGATACATGTAACATATACATAGTCGCACAATGTTGTAAGAAAGAAAAATATAAAAAGGGACACAGAATCACGCTCAACAGAACTTAACGATGAATACCATGGCTCATGGTCACGTACACAAGGATCTCAATCACGCACAAAAAAAAAAAAATACAGGGGCTGCTTAAAGAGGTACGGAATCGAAATTCCAGCGCTCTTTTTCTAGCTTAGATGTGTTGCATGTTGCATCATAACCTTAAGAACACGTTTTTCCTTGAAGGGCACAAGAAAACTTAATTTAAAGCTAATTAAACAATCATTCAATGTGCACCTGGTGGATGCCTGTGAAGCTTAGTTAAGAGGTAATCTCGCAACGTTACGAATTTCGCTACGTAGTCATGACGTAGCAGGAACCGTTCCGTAGCCGCACTAAACATCGGAGCAGCGCCGCTCTTTGGAAGTACCTTCAACTGTTGTAAGTTACCCCGGCCTGAACGCGAATGCAAAGCCTTTCCCCGTGCGCTTTGCCCCTTTGCGAAGGAAGCCAACGAGGCGCCACGATGAACTCGTGTGAATGTCCAAGAGAATGGGGGCGCTGCCGAGCAGAATGAGCTTAAACAAGAAATCGCAAATAAATGGGTGTGCTACTCGAAAAAAATGCGTGGACCGGAAGGTATACAGAACGTTCCGGGCGGACGCCCTTCTTCGAGTGATAGACGCGAAAAACGGAAAGGAACAGGCAAGGTTCATACACGTCACAAAAATCGGGTGGGTACATTGGCCAAGAGGGAGGGGAAGGCGAAACCGTCAGAACAACTTATTCGTTTGTCATCTAACGCAGTAAATAATAAAAAAAAAAAAGACAAAGCAAAAGCCGGGACGCGCAAGTACCACGGAATCTCAAACCTGCCTTATGGCGTCCTCCGCCGCGAGAACACTACAACCGGAATGGTCCTCGGGGTTCTCTGGCCGCCACAACCACGACCGCAGTGGTTACGACGGGCGGACGCGCGGTTCGAATCGGTTCGAAAAAGCCCCCCCCCCCCCCCCCCCCCCCCCCCCCACCCCCACCCCCAGGTGTAGGGTGACGCGTGTTTAACTTCGGTGCCGTTTGTTTAAAAAAAAAAAAAAAGTAAGGAGAAAAATACAGTTTTGTTAAGAGCAGTACGGACAATTTACTGGTATTCGTTTTGAGTGTTAATTTATTTGCCTCCGAGTTCACAGGCCTGCCCAGTGTCGGAACCACCTACGCGGGAAGGCTGTTCGCAAACCGGCACAAAGACAAGAGCCACTCCCCCCCCCCCCCCCCCAAGAAAAAAAAAAAATGAAATAAAAGAGGAAAAAACGGGCATTTTGAAACATTTGGTAATCTCTCCCAACCAACCCCTCCTCCCCCCTTTTCCCTTCCCTCCATCCCCCACGGCAACAAACCTCCTGATGGAGAACGCTTTGGGACTGGATAGAAGTACCCTTAGCGAAAAGTCGTTCGAAATCAGTATACTGAAAGTATACTAATATTGAACTTAGGGTATGTACTGAAATCGTACTAGTTTCACACTTTTATGTAACAAAATAGTATACCTTTAGTACACCCCAAGTACATATGTAGTATACCATAAGCGCACCTCGAGTGTACTTTTAGCATACTATAAGTGCACGTTTAGTACACTACATGCATGCTTCTAGTGTACTAAATGTACACTACCAGTACGTATATGCGGAGTGTCCCAAATAACTTGCACCAAACTTTAAAAAAAAAAAAAAAAAAAAAATGGAGCGTTCTGCGGGAGTGAAACCAACTGTACGCTGTTAGAAAGTCTCTTGCGAAACTGCACAAATTGTTTTAGTGCGCCTATTTATTCAATTAAGACTAAGAAGCTAACTTTTGAAATCTTTGTTTAAAAGCCGAGGTGTGAAATGGAAAGTTGTAGAGCGGGGCATTAAGAAACACCCAATTAAACCATTTTCAACAAGGTGCACTTTGCATGCTCCTTTTTCCTAGCCTTCAAAAAAACGCCCGCGAAGTACAAAAAGATACCGCGTGACAACTCGCTTCCCCAGTCACGGCGTGCGAGCGCGCCGCGAATGTGCGTTCTTTGAAGGCCGGAAAGAAGCACGAAAACGTATTATGTTTCAAACACTTCAATTTGGTGTTTCTCAATGCGCCCTCCAACTTTGCAATTGACATCTTGGCCCTTAAAAGAATATCTGAAAGGTTAGCTCATTAATCTTGGTTATTTACATAACCAGGTGCATTAAAAAAATCTGTGCACTTTCTCAAGACGCTTGCTAACGACAGTTGATTTCACTCCTGCAGAGCCCTCCGGTGTTTTTTTTTTTAAGTATGGTGCAAGTTATCTGGGACGCCGTGTATATCGGGCGTTCTGAATGGAAAGAACGGTCTCAAATAGGCCAGACAAATCGGCGCCTGCATTTAAAAAGCTGACTTTTCAAAGGTGTTTCTTTGAACGGCTGTATTCCAACCTGTGAAATTTCATGTCATATAGCTCCATTCTCGTGAAATGTTAAGAAACGCCGTTGACAACTCAATTGATGATGATAATGCAGAGGCGCCACCATCGGGAGATGGACTCTTAAAAATGAGTCAGAAAATTAACGAGGAAATCTTTGGCAGCTCTATTCCTCGTGAGAATGACGTACCGGCGTCTTCTGAAACTGTGTGAGAAAACCCATAAAGAAGAGGTGCACTGCATTTTTCAACTGAAAGTATGTATGTGTAGCATACAAACATTATGATCAGTGTTCTTCGCGTAATTGATAAGACAGAAATTGAAATCCTACTTATCACTTTATTCAAGTTTCCGAGCCTGCCTCACTGTACACTCTCCTTTGTGACGATGGTATGCCATTACATCCTGCGTGAAAAAAGAAGAGAAAATTACCCTCTGCCACTCTATGATATAACATCACATAATTCGCTCAAAGGACCACTATGTGAGGAAGGCAAGATAGTAACAACTTCATCCTGACAAAAGTATGAGGAAAATCGGACAATATCGTTTCTGAAAGCCTGATATGTCAGACATTGGTGGTGTGCCTTCTTTGCATGCCCAGGGCTATGCTACAGGTAATAGTGTTCATTGCAGGGCACAACATTTATTACCTCAAATCTTAGGCACCATAAAGAAAAAAAAAGATTCAAGGGTGCAGCTTCTACATTTTAAGCACATGGATTGATGAAGGCCACAACGAAACCATCTGAGAATGGCCAATTTCAGGGCTGTGTGTGCTAATAATAAAATTGTATTTTAGAAGTTTAGTATAATGCGGTATTCGATATTGGTTTCAACATTAGTTGTACTACAGTAAACGACCTAATTTTCGCGAAGGCTTAGTTTTTGCGAGTTTATCGAAATTGCTCAAAATTGGTCATGCAAAAAAGTAACCCCATGGATACGAATGCATTGAACATTACTCCTGATTCCAAAATTTCGTACCTGGAAAGTATTCTCAACACTAACACCTCATAAAATGAATGAAATATTGAGCTCTCGCAAAAAAAGTCGTTTATGCCATTCAAACCTTTCAAAGCGCTCGCAGAGTCACCATTGCGATAGATTTGCTTTGTTCAGTGCGCTTCTCCGCATGTGCCAGTGCGCTGCAGAAATTAGTTCTGGATAAAATCCCAAGTATAGGGGGACATACAAACTTTTTGATAACATAGAATCTAAAAATGTTCGCGTTGAATGGCTTCCCAGGAGACTTCTCGGGTCCGGATGCACTGTTACTCTGCAACAAGCAGGCTCTCTTGGGATGACAAGAAAAAAACCAGCGCCCTGAACGCTGTTCGAACCAGCACTCGGGAGAGTAGAAAAGCCTATCAAGCGCTCGCTATATAGGCAGGCCGCTTACTTACGGTGGCTTCATACCTGTCTGCTCGATGCATCATCCAGCCACCCATAATAGAGATCAGTGGGCGGACGTCACTTTTACTTTTGTGATGCAGGTCCCTGCAGATTCCCATAGGTTGCAACCTGCTAGCCCAACTGAGTCAGGCCTGCAGCCCTCCGGGGAATGTCAATTACACTTTTTTATATGTAGACACCCA